TGTTTCGTGAATGTCGCCATGTTAGATTGTTGAATACTCAACGGTCTTTCAGGTCGTCGAGCGCAACGGTGAAACAGCGCTGACTCATTAGTCTCAACAGAGAACTCACCGTTGAGTCAACCGTTAAATATAGAAACGTACGGATTGTGATTGTTAAGACAATAAAGGATATGCATTTTAAAAATTAACTGCATGCAATTCATAATACATTGTAATTTAAACATTTTTACTGTTTTCTATCATAATATGTAAAGTACATACAGTGTAATATAATAAGCGTGGGCGCACGCATACTCACTCTCTTATATTCTCTCTGCTTGTACTCCAAATTTTTGAATAGAGCAACTTCCTTAACACACCAATATAATAGCATCAATTTATAGATCAACAAATAAATAAATTTTAAAACAATAATCAAAATTGAGTCAGTTTTGCATCCCATTTTCACGGATTCTGAAATGTGTCCCTGGTTGGATTGTAAATATGACTCACTATCAACTCTACATTAAGGCCCGAAAAACAAAGTTATAAATAGGTTTTAATTCGATCGAAAAACGCAATTATGACCAGAATATACCACAAATCGAATGCGCTAAATTATGCCGCTGAGTTTGCCGCAGCGGCATAATTTATAACTAATGCTCGCTCGGGGTCCATTTGGCTCACGAAAGAGAGAGAAATGGCGATCACCAATTGTCGAAGATCGTATNATCGAAAAACGCAATTATGATCAGAATATACCACAAATCGAATGCGCTAAATTATGCCGCTGAGTTTGCCGCAGCGGCATAATTTAGAACTAATGCTCGCTCGGGGTCCATTTGCCTCGCGAAAGAGAGAGAAATGGAGATCACGGTAACCGAGATCACCAATTGTCGAAGATCGTATCGTTCAAAAAAAAATTTATATGGAATAATAAAAATATAGATTATAAAAGAAAGGAACGAAAGAAAGAAAAAGGGGAAAAATTAAACTGGCACTCGAAGACCACGTGCAGCACAAAGCACGTGCTGTATGTGTTGCACTATCATTCTATTGTGTTATTCTCTCGTTCCTATTCGGAATCAATCATATACATTAAAAAGATTAAATATGAGAAGAACTGACCTTTTCTTTTTCTTTTTTCACAACTGGACAACAAACTGTCACTCTCTTTCTTTTTTTCGTCTCTCTCCTTTGTTCTACCTCTTGTCTCCTTCCTCGGGTCCTCAAATCTGTCTTGGCAGTGTTGCCAACCGATGTATACCATAATTCCCTTGGTAGTACTCCAAAATTTCCTTATTCACGTACAATTTTCCTTGTCATAAAATGTTTCAATAACAGCTTAAAAATTGTGTTTGTAAGTGCATTATTATTATTATTATGTTATGAATGATCGACTGTGTTTAGTAATTAAAATTATTCAGCAATGAGTTGCATAACATTCCCGACAAAACATTTCAAAATTGTGTGGCGCCATCTGTACGATATCTTATTTAAAAACATATTATATTATTAATTATTATAAAATTATTATGCATTCATTACAACAGAATGCATAGTAAGAAATAAACAGATGTTTCGGATCAGAATATGAAACAATAGAAGAAATACAGTTAATACTTTTATCTTGAAAACATGATCTCATAATTGCCATTGTATTTAAGGTGTTATCGCCAATTCTGTTGGATTTCAATGTATGTTTGTGAAAACTGCTTGAAATTTCTGTATATTACGAAACTGTTATATTAGAACGTAATTTAAAAGATAAATTTGTGTTCATACAGCTGTGAATTTTAACACATGCAGATATTTTTCTCATGCTACGTTGTAACTGTTAAAAATTATATTTATAGCCAAATTTATAAATTTTACATAGAATAATTTCTTGTTTACTCTTCAGGACCATTATATTGCATTTTAAAAGATTGAGGGAGTAGATAGATAGAAGGGCCACGTGTCGTATCTCAAATGGAGTCGGACTCAATAAAGATTTTACACTCTACCCTCAAAATTAAGCTATTTCATCCCTGAAAATCAAGCTGTTTGCCATTTTATAATAATTTATAATTTAAAAAGATTTTTAATAAAATATAATAACGGATGGCACCATACACAATATTAAACTCTTTTGCTAGGACAGTTACTCAATAGAGATTTTTTAAAGACAATCTAACTAGAAAATAGAAAGATGTGGTCATATCTATACATAATTACACTTTAATTCGAAACAATAAAATTTAAATATTTCCAAATTTATATAATAGATAACAACTGGAAGAAATTATAAATAAATTACGAAATTATTTCCTTTATTTTATTGCAGTTAAACATAATGGATAGAAAAATGTTTTTATTTATTAATTTATCTAAATTTCAGTAAAATAATACTTTTTGAATTTATGATCAATTTGTATTGTAATATAATTTAGCAAATTCATATTTTTATAATAGACCATGTAAGTACGCCGATTTGAGGAAGGAAATTTTACTCCCTCGTCAGGAATGACCTGTATGTGGGTGGTGATTACTGAAGGCAAAGAAAACAAGTGTTGACAATAAACCGTATATTTCGCTGAAGGTTATGCTTACATTCTAATGCAATTACTCCAACAGAAATAAGTTTCGACGTCACTGTCGAATCTAACTTCGATTTTCCGGATGCTGTAAACGGGCAGCGGGGCAGCGGCGAGTCGGAGTCCTGCAGGTAGATCTGGCACACACTGTAACTGTCATCTTGTCCATTTCGACAGCGACACGGAGATGAAGGGTTGCAGACGGCAGTCGAACCACAAGGGATGACTAATGAAACAAATTCCGTCTTTGAATATTTGCGTTTTTATCGGATTTTCATTTCTCATTCCTTTTCTATGTGGTAGGACTTTCCTTTTCCTCGCTCACCGATTGATCTCTTACCTGTTTCCAGGTGGAAATTGAGACCAGGGGCCGTATTCTGGTCACTTATCTCTCGTCTCTTCTTTAGAGACGAATGACGTTAAAACGAGAGACGAAATTCGTCTCTCAGAGACAGCGGCGATTCTGGTCACTTTTAACGATCTCGTCTGTGTTGTTGACGTCACCGTTCTACTAGGTTGGTTACACGCAACACGGTATAGAATTTTAACCAATGAAATTGTAAAATTTTCGAAAATGACTAAAACACCTGCGCTCATAGTTTACCTCCTCGTTTCCCGTTTCCTTTTTCCGTTTTAAGTTTTAAACAATTCTCTTTTTCATTTCTTTCGATGTTCGATTCATCTCCTTTTCTCTATTGTATATGAGCGACTATGTCAAAGTGAGGTGTCTCCAGCTCGACACTTACATTTTTTGTTTTCTCGTTATTTTATAATTTATCAAAATATACGTTTCTTTTTAAATACGAACTATTTCCGGGACCTCACAATCATAACAGAAGGCCGGACGGCCACAACTGTTAATGCGCCAATCCTATCTCTTTGGGGAATCCGAGATCGAATCCAGACAAGTAATTCTCTAAGGCAGTCTGTCACAGATATATATATATATATATATATATATATTTTTTGATGCCGTCTCTTACCGACCCCGTCGTTTGCACGACTAAACCCACAATGGGTATGATTTAAAATGTCTGCAAGGGGGAAAAGGAAAGAAAATAAAACTTTCAGCATTGTAACTTTAAATGCGGATTATCAAGTGGTTAACCACCAAAATTTAATACCATCAATCCCCAATACTCAAACCTCTCTGCATAATTTCAGAAATTTTTGACAAAAGGCACAGAATCTTCAAAATTGTGAGAACAAAATCGTTCACTCTCACACACACAATAGCGAGGTTGCGGCCGAAGTTTTCATCTCTAGATCGTCGAGAGCCTCTATCTTGTGTAGCGAGGTTGCGGCGCTTGACGTTCGACTGTTCACGTTTTAGAGATGAAAACTTCAACCGCAACCTCGCTAATAATATTCATATATTCGAAAAAAAAACCCAAATTTTTTAAATTTCTCGAAGGTTTTAAGGTCCTCTGATTCCAAAAATAAAAAAGTGTTGAGAGTCATTTCTTGACCGTTCGTTATACTTTCTCTATTATATATAACAGCCGGGAAAATAAAACTTAAACTGGGAAGAATCTTTCTTTCTATTCATTTATACCAGGAGTCACTAAAATGTTTTCACAGCGGGCCAGATAACTGAGAAAATGACTAGCGCGGGCCGCATAATCATTTTGTTTGTTCAATACAGTATAGTGATTACACAAAATAATAAAGACCATAACATATTTATTTACTAATACACAAACACGAGCGTTACAGCAAGATCGTAATATCTTTTCTTAGAAACTTCATTGCAGGTACACAAAAAGCACTCTGATATCCAAATTCACCGAAGTATTCGTTTCACTGATTTTCCCTAAAAATTATATTAACGTCAGATGCAAAAATCAGATTGGACCACTTCTGGCATTTTTACTTACACTTATTTTTTCTACATAGTAAGTTTATCTACAGTTTATGATATTTTTAAATAAATAATTACATTTTACCTCATTTGTGGCACAGTGCGGCGGCGGGTCATAGTTTGGTGACCCCTGATTTATACAATAGTATGGTGGGTATAGTAAAAAAAAGCCCTCTTATAATACTCTAGAGCGGAAAGATTAAAAAAGAATTAAATTATACATTTAAAATACCAGTTTAAAATAATCATTCAATGTTGATGGCATTTTATGTATTTTTAATTCATATTCCCATTATTGTATATTAAAATAATGGGAACAATTACAGAACAAATCCATTTATGATTCTTCCACCAATAATTTTCTTACAAGTCTAATAATTTCTAATGTTAGTAAACCAGACATTTGCTATCAAAAAAAAAAAATTTTTTTTTATTTTTTTTTAATAATTTCTAATGTTAGTAAACCAGACATTTGCTATCCAGATACTCATTTTATATTTATTTAATTGGCTGATTTGACAAATTTATTGCTGTAAATTCATTTATATAGAAGCTTTAAACTGATCACAACTCGTACAACAATCGGTAACTGTAAGTACTGTAAGTTGCATTTGTATTATACCTTTACTTTTATATAACGAAATAATTTTTCAAACTATATACTTTATATAATTACAATAGTACAGAATACAGTCATACCCCAAACTTACGCGATAGGTGGGACCGAGTGATAACCGCGTAAGTCGAATTCGCGTAAGTTGGGGTATAATTTTGCATATAAATACATACAAATTATTTTTAATTGGGGCCGGAGACTAAAGAAAACAATAATTTAGAAAAAAATGTTTAATAAAATTCTAGATAATACATACGTATAATAAATTAGGTCTATATTACTTTACAATTTTTCACATTTACTTGATTATTACGCCATAATTTTAACATTGTTTCCATCTCAGCGATAATACTGTGACGTTTACGAATGATGCTTGAATTTAAAGATTGAGCATTTTTTACAGCTTCGAGAATTTTTTCTTTACCTTTTATAATTGTTCTGACCGTCGATTCCGGTAGATCAAACTTCTTTGCCAATTCACAAATTTTCATTTTTGTATCGAAGTCTTTAATAATGTTAACTTTACATTCCAAAGATAAAGTTTTTCTTTTCTTGTTTGATGCAGAAGAATCAGTTCTACTTCGTTTGGATGACATAGTAGAGTGTTAAGATTAATCATATTCGTTGTTGTAAACCGCGCTTAAGTTAGGCACCATCTATTCATTTCTTTTGTATGTCCGACGATCAAAAGACAGCTTGGGATCGAGTCTGTTTATAATTTGAAAGGTAATCTTGTCAGTTGTATATACAAAAGGTAAATTGTTTACAAAATGAGTCTTTGTTTATTATCTGATAAATGTATACTTTTTTCGTCAATTGTTCACGATTGCAGATGCCTTTTGTGTAAAATTCAAGTCGGATGTATGTAAGCTAATAAATGTTCTCGTTAATCTTATCTCGCCATTTGGTTCGTTCACGGTTACAAGAAATCACCACGTAGAGTCTCTCGAGTCTCCGTAGATATAACAAACACAGAAATAAATAACACAAAATAAATTGCAGCTATGTGTGGATTCCGCGCGACACATCCGAACATGTAAGCTGAACAATAGTGTGGGGGAGTGAGTAATCAAGGGTTGCGTGGCGCTCAAACAAAAGACGAATCGACGAGATTTGAAAATCGCGTAACTCCGGGTTCGCGTAAGTCGGGGTATTACTGTACACAGTTTCCCGTGGGCCCTAACATGGCCTTTTAATAAGCCCATAATGGGTTTGCTAAAAAGGCCATCTTACTGCTCACATGGGCACACCCACAATGAGACAACCAGTGGTTGGATGGGATCCGACATATGTTGATCTGTGCGTGTTTATCAGTGTATTTTTATTTTCATATTTGACCCTTCAAGCCTTGTGGGAACTAAGACGGACTTTTAATCATTCCCATCATGGGATGGGTATGATTGAAAAATCATCCAGATCCACAATAAAGGGGCTGGATGATGCGGGGCACGATTGTCTTCCGAATATTTCCTACTCGCCTGGATTCGATCCTGGATCCATCAGAACATAGTCTAGAATTGTTTTGTGTAGATTTGTTTGTGTTTTTCTGTGCGTTTCTGTATGTGTTATTTAATTTTACATATATTTACGTTTTAATATACAGTATTTATTTTATTATAGTTAACCAGAAATCGAATTGCCATGATCTCCACTAGAATATTTCTAGTTATACTTGTAATGACTGTGATTAATAGTAAGACGATTCAATTATTTAAAACGTGGTAGAGGTATAAGTTAATGGAAAAAAATTAGAATTAAAACTAAAACGTGTATTTAAATGCCTTTTTCTTTTTCTATGTGTAGTATTATATAATAAAGCCTTATTTTAGGAAATGTGTGATATAGATCGACTCGTTTTACATCGAATTAATCGTAAAACGGGGTGATCTTATCAACGTCGATTTATGCATTAAATAATTTAACCTATCAAAATAGTGAATTATTAATTGTTCGAAATTATTAAATTACTATATTCTAATTTTTTAAAGCTTTCGTTTCCGAAATGACAGTGGATGCCATTAGACGCTACTGCGATCCTCGGGTCTGTGATAGAGAATGTCTTGAAAAAGGAAAATATTTTGGACGCTGCTTTGAGGATATCTGCAAATGTACCTAATGAAAATGATAAAACAAAATAAATATAGCATTGTATGAAAATAAGGCATTGATTTCTGTCAATTATATAATTATCATTGTGTCATATGAAAACGTTATTGTTCATTGTTTGTAATAACTTCCCTTTCGATGAGGGATGCATTTTCATGAGGCTGACTAGACTACGACCCTCTGCAAAGACTAAGGAACTACATTTCAAAATATTACACCGGTGGTTTTCTATCCAGGGTCTGCGGAACCCTTCAAGTGTTCCGTAAATAAATCAAATATACAATTAAAAATTGTTGCAAAAGAAAAATCAATACAATGTAAAATAATTTTTGTATAGGAATGTTATCAGCAAATGCCAATGACATCATATACTAGGCCGAGTGCGCTCTTGATTTCAAAAAGGTTTGCCAGTTCTGCTTTAAAGCTGATGTACTGTATTTTAAGTGTTCCGCGAAAGAAAATGTCAAAGTTTAGTGTTCCTCGACTTCAAAAAGATTGAGAACCACGGTATTACACTGTTCAATAGTTAGGTTCCGAAAAAGTACCGTGTTATACGAATTCGTGCTATACGAAACAAAGGACTAATGCAAAGCAGAATTAAATTCTAAAAGTTAATAAAAGTATACTATTCTTTTTTTTTTTACTAAAACATACGTTTATTAAATCCATAATTAACTAACAATCACAAGTACTGTATTACGCGTTAATATTAATTTCAGTTAAATGAGGGCGTTTTCTTTTCCGAAGTAACAATACTTCGGAAAATAAAAAGCCATTGTTTAAGAGGAGGGTCAAAATAACGACAAAAACGTACATACACTGATTGCGACAACAATTGGAGTGTCGGAGCGCTGTAATGCGGTCCGACGGGTCAGAGGAGGATCCAGATAACGACAAAAATATAAATACATTGATTGCGACACAGCGAATTTTGAGTGAAAAGTTCGTAACGTTAAATTTTTGACATTTTCGGCGAAAATTCGAAAAAAACAATAAGAATTCTGTTGTTTGTATGATTAAAATTAAAATTCTTAACAGTTTAAAGGGACATCAATGGTCACGCGGTTCGTTTCACTAACACTGGGAATTCGTTGATGGGTTCGCAATTGCCAGGACTGGCTGGCCTCGTGGAGTTTTCCGGGTTTTTTTTTTACGTTTTTGTAACGCCTAAATAAGGGCCTGTTTTCCTTAAAAAGACCTACTGGAACATATCCCCGCTAGGCAGATCGCTTAAGTGTTGCGTTGCCATAACTAAACAAAAAACATTACAGTTTATAACGTTTGTTAGAATATTTTGTAGTGTTAAAGGTGTGTATTTTAACATCTATTTTGGTTGCCACATATTTTTAAATATAGGACATCCAGCAACCAAAATATCAATTTTTACTTTTAAAACGTTTTTTTATTTTATTTTATTTATATCTTTTAAATATTTTTTTGTTTTTTATTTAAACGGGACAGGACACAATTTGTCCTATATTTTAATTTTTTAATAAATGTATTAAGTAATGGCAGTAACGTATGTTTATCCTCCTTTTTAGAAAGTTTTGGTTTACAATTTAAGTATTTCAAATTTTAAATAAAATTAAAATACGAAAAAATTTGTAGTCAATTTAAAAGCTAAAACTTTCAACTCAAAATTTAAAACGTATAATGTTTAATAGGCCCATTATGGGTTCGGTCAGCTCCATAAAGGAGCGACCGGTGACGATCGGGGGCGGACATATGCGAACAGAATAATTGTTTGAATAATTATGTTTAACTTAATAAAATTAAACATAATTATTCAAACAATTATTCTAATATTTATTATTACAGAAATAATACTTATCGAAAACAATGAAGATCTGACATGTATTGTAAGAGCTTTATTTGGTGATTATTTTGGAATTTATCGTTTAGAATTTCGTATAGCTGACGAATTTTAAGTGGTACAATTTTGTACGGAAGTTGATTTTCCGGTAGCATCCTCGATGGTACGTATTTTGGCGTAGCACCCTTAGGATCAAGTTTATAGTTTGTTGATTCAGTTACGAAAACAATGAAGACAACTTTAGGCACGGTAAAAGTTTTATTTAGCAATTATTATGAAATATATCATTACAATTTTGTAAGGCTGAGGAATTTCGATTAGTAGAGTTTCGTAGGTTTTAGAATTCCCGACAGCACGCTTTGATGTTATCTATTTGACCTGAGACCCGGGAGCTCAAATACACAACTTGCTCATATAGTTTAAATGAAATGGCATTGATTTGTACAGTACAAGATTCGTTCATCAATAGAAGAATCTACAGTTTCCTCTCAGTACAACACTTACAAACAACCGTCATGTTAACATTCACAATTGAACCATTAGCGAATTGCGGCCGAAGTTTTCAACGTAAAAACGTGAACGTCGGGCGTTCAACGCCCTCTTCCTGTAAGCCTAGAAGTTTGACAATGGCATTTGGAACGTCAGTGGAATCATGCTCGACGTTCAACATCGCTATTATCTTATTTGTTTGGCATATCCATTCATTTACATACATTCACGCTTCGTCGATGTAAACAACATCCTCACGTAACACAAACACCGCTTTCCAAAATTCAACCCCTTGGTACTCGGAAGAGGAAACGCTGTTCGATAGATAATTTCGAATGGCAGTTAATGAGGCTCTGGTAAACTAGATATACGCAGTATAGAGTTTTCTTGATATTTATTTTGAGTTTTTTTTTCGATTTTTTGATGTTTGACCTGTCCTCATTCGATCCCAGATTTTCCATAGTGTTAAATCGTCACCTTAATCTCTGGGCCATTCGGCTGTCGTCTAAGAATTTAATACACACCTCTATAAACTGGTGCGATTTGAACTACTTTGCCCTAAGTCATTTTAAAATATTTTAACAATTCTGTTATGAGTTTCGGGAATTAATTAAAATTTAATGTACAATAAATTTGAAATTTTATAATGTATGCTAGTCTCGTACTTAACCTTCCTGATCGTGAATATAATATACGTAGAATTATTGCCTGACTTGATTAAAGGGAAGAAGTATTGATTATTTTATAAAAACACATCACGACATTCTAAATTATATTTATTTAAGGTAAGTACAGTACATCGCAAACGTCAAGCATATGTAAACGTCCCTTAAAATTATGTTTTGCTGGCTACTACCTAGGAAAATATTTTACGAATTTCCTCTATTCTAAGCCACATTCTGTACATCGGTAAGTGTCGTTTAAAAATTTAAATCACTTTTTAATTAAATACGAGCAATTACTTATTGTGACGTCGTTATAATGCTGGGTTGCGATTTTTAATCACAATTAAATTTTTAAAAAAATCATGGGACTTCCGGTCTACACCGGAAGTCGCTATAATTTTAAAATTCAGGCCCAATTAAAACGAACTGATTAGTCTATCAGATGGCCAAGAGGTGGAGGTTGCAGCTTATTGCTCTTAGGACCCCAGATCAAATGTGGACGAGTCGAAAAATCCGCAGGAATTTTTCAGGTGGTGGTTCATTTGGATATGTCAAGGTCCTGTCCATCACCATCCGACAGCACCATTGTGTGGTCCAGCTGAAAGAGGCCCTCTTAGTGCCTACAGGTCAAAAACAGATAAAAAATTCAAGTAATAAAAACTTCAAGGTATTCAGTATTTTATATATAAGTTCTATTTTCCCCAGCATTTACATATGTAAAACAATGGAAAATATTGGACTCGCCCTCTTAAATTTGACCCTCTGGTTGTTTCGCTAATCCTCATGTTTTGAGACTTCCTGAACCCCCAAAAAAATGTCAACAAAGAGGAAAAAAATATTCTGTGGATGAGTATGTGTATGTGTGTGCATGTTGGAGTCTATTTCATTTAAAATCTCAGGATGGATAAAGATTAACTAAGAAATTGAATTTGGCACGGTAGCTTGTGCATAAGGGTTATCGATGATATATTCAATTTTGGCAGTAAAAGGTAGAAAAGATAGAGGATTGCCACGTGTTATATTTTGAGTGGAGTCAGAATTAGTAATGATTTCACTCGTTATTAGCATTTATAATTATTTACAAAACTCATTTTTATCCTGAAAAATAAGACTTTTGCCATTTTATAATAATTGATAATATAAAAAGGTTTTTATAACAAAATCTCATAACAGATGGCGCCACATACAATTTTATATATTATGTTTAATAATATAAAAGTAATTTTTAAAAATTTTTTCATAACAGTGGGGAAAGTTACTTAAGTTTTCGCTGAATTTTGTTTTGTTAAAAACCTTTTATCTCATAATAATATAACTTATTTATGCTATTTAGTAGGAAATCAGCAAATAGTATTCAGATTAAATTACAAAATGTCTGGGACTTAAGTTTTTATTAAATTATATTGCTTATTGTATAAATAAAATACGTCTAAACACGAAAATTTAAGTATTTACTTTTTCCCATTTTAGGTTATAAAAATAGAAGAAATATATAGAAGAAAATCATCACATATTCATTTATTTTTAACACGTTTCATCACTTAATTGAACATTTTCAAAGTAAGTAATTTCCGAAGATGAATTTTACCAGAAGATCTCATTTTCAGCAAAAAATTAAAGAAAACCAATGCTCAATAATCCTCAATAACAAATGGAAGCCATTGCTGATTTGCATGAAATTTTTAGGTTTGAGGTTGGAGAAGAAATTTTCTTTGCATATTGTAGTAATGCTGATCGGTGCAAAAATATATCCCATTTATTACATTTGCCAGAATATTTTGAAATATTCCGAAGTGAATTTATCTGCAGTCGAATGGTTTACGTTCGTTTACTTTGTCTTCTGTCTCAGTATTAATGTATTTTCTATTTATTATTTTCATTTGACTAAACAGAAGATATTAACGGAAATTAATAACCTAAATGAAATTTTACAAGAGAAATTATTCGTAAATAATAATAAATTTCTGTTATTTAAATGCTGTTTAATTTGGGTTAATAATATCCTATACAATATTGCATTCTTTTTCAACGTAATTGAAAGAGTTGACCTACTGTATGATGTAACTAAATTACCTTTAACTCCATTT